CGATCAGGAAATACATACAAAAATTTTTTTCTTTTTCCTGGTACCCAAACACAGTCAATATTTTCTTGTTCTTCAATTATTTGACATATTTTTTCATAGGCATCGTTCAATGTATCTTCTTGAACAACAGCTAAAATAAAATGTACAATACAATATTTGTAGATTATTAATAAAGAATTTCGTGGTGGCAGCGCGCTCATTCACTAAAGCGTAATAAATCTCAACTTTTCTTTACATCCAAATAGATAATGATAATTAGAGTATAGTAATCTTCAAGTTTGATTACACTTTTTAATTTATATTTACTAATAGTTTCTATCTCAATAGAAAAAAGTATACGAATAGTACGCGTGTAATGATAATAGCCATACTCTCTTTTCTTTACCGCACATTTGAGCAAAAATTAGTAGAATAAAGAACTTATTAGAACAATAAAATAATGGCAAAGAAAAAATAAACCTTCAACTGTTTAATGAAAAGAATCATAAAGTAGATTCATGAGATTGAATGCGAATCTATTGTTCAAAGTGATATTTTCAGCTATGTACTCTAAAAAAATTTCTTTCTAAACATTGTCAAGGTTACAGTAGAATAAATAATAGAATTGATCTTAAATTCAGATTGGTTATATTTGAACATGTAACAAATTTTGTTTTAAGCAGAATAAATTTTGCAAAATTTATGGTGTTTTAATAGACAAAATTGGTTTATGTTCATTTCCTATCACTTGTTGATGATACGACAAAAAAATTATCAAGAAAGTAGAGGAATTTCAACAAAGAGTTTTCGAAAAATTAACTATAAGCTCATTGGCTTTCATAAACGTGTAGAAACAAGGAGTAATACCTATTCACTAGAAAAATTCTGCCACCACCATTGATATTATATACGTTGTATATCAGAGTGAATATTTTCTCTCAATTACAGTACTTACCAGTAAACAAATCCAAAAACATTTGTTCAGTTTTAACTGTTTTCTCGTATAATTTTTGTGCGCTCTCTTCATTAGCATCTGTGCCCGCATTATCGCTAAAATCCACGAAAGATTTAGATTACTTCAGACTATTATTAAATTTCTTACTAGATCCATTTCACATCTGGTGGTTTAACAAAAATAGCTATTGGATATAAACCGGCTACCGTTAAACGTTTGATTGCGTGACCACTCACATCTAATACACAATGTTTACCCTACACAAACAAGTACAATAATAATACAAACAGTATGTCACATGAGGAATTAACTCACCGATTCTGAAACTTCTTTGACAGCTTGCATAGATGTTCCATATAAATTTCCTTTATATTCTCCTGCTTCGATAAATAAATGATTTTGAATATCTTCTTCCATTTGTTCACGAGATGGTACAAAATAATAATCTCGGCCACTTATTTCGTTATCGCGACGAGGACGAGTGGTATCTAAATAATAATTAAATAAATTTATTTTTCTATTTTTGATACTATATGAGCAAAAACTTACGTACTACACAATTGACAAATTTATCTGGTTTATCCCTCATTAATCGATCATTTATTATTTCGTTAAATGGTCCAAAAATGATAACGGGTCGAGTATGATTTACTATAAAAATAATAAACAAGATTTGAATGGTTAGGATTTTATCAATATCGTTGATGACTTTCAGGATGTAGCGAGTATCATTTCGGTTCTGTTTGACGCAGAGAGGATTGGGGCTAAGCCATTCCGCCGCATTCACAGGATGCTAGATTGATACCAGATTTTGAATCATAGGGGACAGAAAACTTCATTCGAAATGAAAATGTCTTTCACTAAAGTTATCACGGCTCATGATTAACTTTTCAGAAATATAGTAAAGAAGATAGTTCAACATCGCGACAGAAATATGCCGAAAGGATTTAAAGGAGGAACTTGATCTTCAAAATTTTTGCTGTGTACTCACTTTGATTTCGTATAAGTTCTTCAGTAAAAATTTCTTTTAGATAGAAATTGTGGAGTACTGAACGCATCGTAGGATCGATGTAAACTTCAAAAAGTCGCATCATGTTCTTGAAGAAAAGTCTGAGTAAAACACGGTGCGATCAATAACTACAGCTATGTACAACGGTGCTGTCAGACTTTCAGTAAAACTAGAATTCGAGAGCTCCACCAGAATTACGCCACCTTTTTGATCCTAAATTCTGGCGAATGTTTCTAAGTGGAATAATCGTAAAGGATCATTTTTAATCTTTTTTTTGAAAAATTTAAATATTGTGCTCTCTATAGAAAATCCCATTCTCTTTTGACTAGTGAGTACAAAAAAATGTGGGCACCTTGATGGGGCATGAAAAAGCTCACCTAACTGCAGAGAGTATCCTACACGATAACGAGCAGGACTTAGCGTCAGCTTCCTTGGGATTCCAGATGAAAATCCTAGCGTGAATGTGTTCTTCACGTACGGCAGGCGTTGCCTTATGGAAATTAAACTCGCACCGAAAGGACGGAAGCAGGTCTATTAACTTTGCAGCTGATCAACCGAGTACCTTT